ATTCCCAGCTGGCCTTTGGAGTCTCACTTGAACCTGACAGGCCACCGCTTATCACTTGCTGTCAAGCCCTCTGATACGGTCTTGCGCTTGAAGCAGCGCGTAATGCTTGTGGAGCCAGTTTCCTTCCCGGAACAGGCAGGATGTGAGAAGAAACGGGCAATTCATAGCTGATGATCCTGGAGATTTAAGGGTGCTTAACAGAGGGCCTTATGAAGGGGTGCTTGACCAACTATTGCTCAGGAGCTTATGCAGACACCAAAAGTATTCCAAAAGTGAAGGGGCAACTCTGGGTGGGCATGGCGGGCACCCTTAGGTCCCTTAAGTTTCCATCGAATTGTAGCCATGTTAGGCTGTTAGTGTTTGGATCCCACGCTTTGGACGCAGTGTGCAGGTTTTGCTTCGAGATGGGGCAACACTCCATGACAGCCAAAGGCCGACCAACATTTTGAGACAGGGTTCGTCGGTTTTTTTTTCTCTCTTTTTCAGAAGAGGTACTCATGGGGGGTGGAGACGTGCATGTTGTAGAAATGCGTGTTTTTTGGCTCTTTCTGATCAGAATGTCTCCATTTGCTCATCTACTTTCACTTCACAGACTCTTAAAATGCTACTTTCAACCAAAAGTGCCAAAACCAATGGAAAAAAGGAGAAAACACAGTTTCACCCCATATCCCCTGTCCAGCTTCTCAGACCCTCTCTATGGGTCTTCTCTTTTTGTTTTCTCGAGGCTTTTGCCAGTTTGTCAGTCCAACAATGCTAGTTGCTTATCTTATATTTGTGTTTTTGTTCATTCAAGGATGCAATACCCCTAGCAGGAAGTGTACAACCTATAGCTGGAGAATACAACCAAATTTTGTTCAATACAGCCTACAGCCCACTATCTCCTTTGAACGGGGCAGCAATTGTGCAGAGCATGCAATAAATCTTTCAAACATGTGCTTGTATTTTTACATTTTCACAAAGGTACAGTACACAATTCACTGCAGGAAGCAGGGTTGTTTTCAAGATGCATGATCTTCTCAAAAAATAAACTTGTTCAATGTTCAAGATACAGCGGTCTTTTCAAGAAGTGCATGTCTCAAGTTTCACTTGCGCTTTCATGCACAAAATGTATTGTTTCGCTGCAAGTGTGTTACTTTTTTTCAACAAGGCAGCGCTTTTAAGGCAAAATATCATAAAATATCGATGATGCCTGGAAAAGGTCTAGATTCAATTGTAGTTAAACTATTCACCCCGCTTCGCGTGGGGTGGCCGCCCACACCGCAGGTTTATTTCGGTCCGTGAGAGGGGCTAAGGGTGGTTTTCCCCCGTGGGGGCTCTTCAAGCTAAGAAGTTTCAATAAGGAATCCTTCCAAAACATTGTTTTTGACAGTGTTTTTCCAATGTTTCCAGTCAAACAGACGGTAATTTACACGTTTTTTGCCATAAAGGCAGTAAATCCTTCCAAAACATTGCTTTTGACAGTGTTTTTGTAATGTTTCCAGTCAAGCATACGGTAATTTACACGTTTTTTGCTATAACGTCAGTCCAAAACACTTGTTTTTGCAGTGTTTTCAATGCTCTGGCATCCAAAAACCCTGCAAAATCTTGCTATGTACAATGTTTTTTTCATTTTTGGCCGTTTTTCCATTGCCGGAAAGCTACCAAAATGACCCAAAATTCCATTTCAATACCCTCTTGCGCTCAGACACCCAAAAATCCTCGAAAAATGTCGAAAACACCACCGTATTCTGGTCTCGGTGCGAAACCGTTTTTGGGGTCTGGTCTCGGTGCGAAACCGTTTTTGGCCCCCCCCCCCCAGCTAAAGCTGATATAGCGACTGCTATATTAACAAATGTCATTGAGCATTTAGTGTTGCTGTTGCCCCCCAATAAGCACGCCTTCACCGCCAAAGCGGTGTGGGCGGATTTTTTGAAGAAGTGCATGTTCAATCTGGACATGTTCTTTCTTGAAAAGCATGCATGAACAGCATGAAAGGATGCAGAACACTTTTTAGAAACTGCAGAGTTTGCAGCTGGAAATTGCACTCATGTCTGTTCAATATCAAATACATATTTTTCGAGAAACATAAACTATTGCGGGAAAAAATGTCAAATAGTGTGCTGTGTTATTCATATAATATTATATATATATGGTAGCATGTGCAACAATATAATGCAGAATTCATTGCAAGCATCAAGATCATTGTATATAGACATTTTTTCTTGTCCAAATGCTAAACAAAAAACTAAAGCATTCTTGGAAAGAGACAACATCTCTGCAGAAAATGGACTATTTTGGTCAGTCGTGTGTTGTTCACTTTCCAAGCACAGTGTCAAAACCATTGATGAAAGCACATTTCTTGTAAGTTTACGTTATTTTTTGAAATGTTTTGTTTGAAATGTAGCATGCCCGTCTTATAACCACACCAACTCATGCATAATGATGCAAAACCTCGTAAAATCAGACGCATACCTGCTCTCTTTTTTTTCCACTATCCGACTGAAGTCGATCAGCATTTTGAATATCCAGAGCTGGGTGTCAGATATTGCCATTAGCATTGACACCTCTCTAGGCTTCAGGAGTTGGGCTTGAAGGAGGGTGAAGAGCTTCACTTCAACGTCACCGCGACGATTGCTGTCTTTGTGCAGCAGCTGGTGGATTTGCTCGAGGCAGGGCGATGCTGACAACTTTGGGAGGCCAGGTATAACATGTGGGGCAACATAGAACTCTTCAAGGTTGTTTGCCTCATTGGACACGCTTGGACTGGCACTTCCGGCTTGAACCCGCGATATTTCATCAACCGGTTATTAAGAATTTGTCAAGTCTGCAGATTCATCATTCAACATTCAACCATCTATTTCTTGCGGTTCATATCCACATTTTCCATGTCAACATTGCCAAAAATCCGAAGCGGATTCAACAACCCCCCAGTTCAGTGACCAAGGATCAATTATTGAGATTCGCCCTTACAAAGGTGTTTCAGTTGGTGGTTAAGATTCAGGCGATATTGGGTTGGCCACCTTTCATGACACAAAGGAAGCACGGAGGCACCATATTGTTGACATCCAAAGCTGTTGCGGCCAGAGAAGTCATATGGAGTCCGAGTTACCAGATATCATGAGATATCATAGCCAACAACACACACAATGACATAATATGTATATATACATATATATATATATCTATATATATATATATGTGTGTAGATAAAACTATATGACCTTACCCCTTACCAATAAACATAGCAATTTCGGGATTGTTATATATATATATATACACCAAGCATTTAGCGGGGATATTTAATAACCACTGGATAATGTCTGCCTTTAAAGCTTCAATTACCTAAGCGCAGTGCCCCAGTACTGGTAGAAATAGTTTTGTAGTACCCCCTGGCTGGTGACCTCGGCGGAACAAAATGACTGCGCTCCCCACTAAACCAGCTGTCAACACAAAATCACAACCGAACCAGCCACATGCCAGTCCGACGCCTCTTCTTTTTGGTGGCAACATCCCCGTTTTTCCAAGCACCTCTGCCACTTACCACTAGTGATCATCGGCTACTAACTTACGTGGTACCCAACAAAGATTCACAGTCACCCACATCAAAGCCAACATCCAAGTTGATATATTACTACCCATCCAAGTGGTTGACGCAGCTTTTATCACCCTTTCTCGATCAAATCGACTGAAATTGGAGGAATCAACCAACATCAATAATTCGTCTACTTAGCTAAGTCCACTCCAAAAATTGAGCTAAGCCATGCTAAGCCCACTCTTATACTACTCTTACTACCTGGGGTTGTAACCCTCTAACCATCAACCATCAAAACCATCCTCAACCAAAACCTGCGCAGTTGGAAGGCGCAGGCACGCCCAGTACCGGCTACTGAACTTGGGATGCTGTACAGCCACAAATGCGGAGGGAGCCTTGGCAGACAATTGGATAAGAGCGGTTTTGTTAGTTTTGTTACACAAAGTCAAGTTATGTCAAATTTGTTTGAATAGTGAACAGTTGAGCACCCTTCTTTTGGCCCTGACTGCACTGGAGATGCTTGTATTGATTGGACGCGGGTGCTAGTCTCTCTATTTCTTAATCTTTGGCTTTAGGTGGGTGTGGTGCGCCCTTAGGTCCGTGAAGCATGCCCTCACAATTCTGGGCTGCAGCGGAACCTTGACTGACTTCCTCGCCAACCAGAAACAGTTTTCCGTTCAAGAGTCTGGCCCTTTGGATGCAAAAAGCTGCAAAACTATCGAAACTGGGCTGATAAAGTGGCTGATGAGAGGCAGCTCACAGCAGAAGTATGCTTCAACTTGTCCTTACCCCTTACTAGATTTGGAACCCCTTACTAGATTTGGATGTGCTTCTTTCTTCACCCTAGCCACTTCAAGGAGTCCAACGGTATAGACCGTGGAAAACTCATTTTGTTTACGGCGTTTACGGTTTCGGGAAGCCAAGGTTTGGTGTCCCTCGCCGTGCCTTGGCACAAGACATCACAAGACCTCGACAAGGCTGAAATGCACATGGAGAATCATGGAGAATCATGGAGAACTGGAGAATGCGCTGAGCGGATGCCGTGAGATGCTGTGAGATGCTGTGAGCAATTGACATTGAAGCCCATGAGAAACCAATTTCTCACGTGCGGAGATTTTCCAATTGCAATATCTTACTCTCCTTACTCGCGGCAAGAACCAACCGTTTAGTGTACTGAGCGTCTACTGAATTGGACTTCAACAGTAGCTCTTGTGCTGAGGAGCTCCCAAGCCCTGTTGTTGAGACGCCTGTCACCGTCACCGCTGCAGTTGTTGTGAAGAGTACTTTGGGCAATGCTACTTGGATCTACTTGGATCTACTTGGACCTACTTGGCGGAACCTGCAATGCACGGGAAGATAACACCTATAATGAACCATCATCGTGCCAAGTCGGACCAGGCCATTGCCAATGACTGAAAGGTCATGTCAGCGATGCATTTTACATCTCACGACTTCTCATGGTGCGCAGACAGTGCCCGCGATCCCAGGTGGTGAGAGCCTCTGTGGACATGAAGATCAAAGACTGCCAGACAGTGCAGAGCTTCTATGACCGCGTGGCAGCGGCAGAGCTCATCCCATTCCAGGCCTGTGTAGTAGTACACAGTCAGCGAAGTTTTCAGCCTTTAAGGAATTCCATAAGTGAAACAGTGAGCCTTTACTTTTGGACCTTTTGGAATGCCATAAGTGGAAGATGTGTATCGCGGAGCCGGCTGCATGCTGCTTTCTTGGAGTGTTTAGCTAGCGCCTAGCCGCCTAGCCCTTAAGTGAGCTATACCTTGCCTGGTTAGGCGTCCAAAGTCTCTCTCGATGGACAAGTCCTTGAAGGTGCGAATCTATGTGAAACGGAAAGAAAACGGAAAGTTGAGACAGCATGAGAAAGCTACATTGTATCAACTTGTTATAGCTGTCAATTTCACCAGAGTGGCACCAATACTTGACCAATTCGCTGTTTTCTTCACCGTTTTCTTTTTGATGTGTTTGGTTGCGTTTGGTGCTGTGATGCGAGCATGCTGAGGGCATCACCAGCTCAGCTCCTACATCAAGCAAGGTGCAACTGTGGAAGTCTGTGTCAACATCTCCAAGGAATCCTTGCGGTCCTTGCGGCGCGTGGCCTCATAAATTGCATGTATAGTTCGTATAGTTCCTCCTCTTTCCCCAGACCCAATGCCTGCGGAATATCAGCCCACAGAATAGCCACATTTCATGGTGCGAGATGACTCATGTGCACATCCAGGACATGCTGGTTTAACAGCTTGCAGGCGCTTTTGGCCCTTGCACTCAACAGTCCTTGATTCATCAATTCTATTGCATGTGCTGGTCACATGTGTTTAGCAGGAGGCCTTGTCTCAGTTCGTATAGTTATTTTGAAGCAGGAAATCGAAGGTCAGCCCGTGTTACATGTATGGATTCAGGTGCCATAGGCTTATTTGCATCCCTTGTGCACTGCAGGTCTATTAAACGGCCGTCGCTTATCTGTCACTGAGTTGGGTGATTTGTACTGCTACAGGTGCGGCTGGTTCAACAGCATCCCGCATGTCAAAGTATGAAAACGGCGCTTTTTGGAAATAGTCTTATCAAGGACAAAGGCCTCCTGTAGCTAGCTTCAACATCTTCAACCCGTCAGCTTGACAAAGCAGCATAGTTTGGCTGCATTGGACAGAAAGATGTTACAAATGCGATGGAGCAAGTGTCAACAGAGGATTCATGATTTTGAAGGCGTGTCACGAGGGATAGGATGACATGGTTATGTCAGGTATGGCGTGCCAGTATCAAGGGCATTGGAGCTGCTTGGTCGTCGAAGCACACTCAAGGCAGGTCTTTTCTTGCATGGCTTTAAAGTCTTGTCTTGACCACCATTGATCAGAAGCAGAGCTAGGCTGGACAACATATGCTGAGAATTGCAGGAGTTTCTCAAGGACAACGTGGAACACTTCTGCATGGACGCAGGCTCTGTTAAAGCACTTTGGAGCATCAAAGGAGCAGCTGTGATCCACTTGCTGCAGAAATTGCCATGCACGTCAGGATGTGTGATGCAAAAGCAGCCATCCAACAATACGACAGTCACAACATTGGGTGGCTTTGTCGGCACTTTCTTCCAACTACGAGAGAACATAAACATATATAAAAACAACTTGGAAATGCTTAGAACAGATGAACATCGTTGAAGATCTTTGACAACGAAGACAGATACAGTATAGCAACCCTGCCGGAGCTGCTACAGCTCTGGCCAGCTACATAGGTGGCTTGAATCAGACGTACCTGGACCCTCAGTCAGAGATTGCAAGCGGCAAGTCCATCCAGGAGAGAATACAGTAACTTTGGTTGATAATCCATTCCTACAGGTATAGAGCTGCGAGCAATTGATGGCAGTTGTTGACATGTTCATCCTGCTGATGCTAGCAAGAGGTTGGTCAAGAGCCCTCCTTCTTTCTCTTGAAGGGATGAGTCTAGGATAGTGGCGTTCTCTGCAGACAAAAGGAAGCCACCCCTGCAAATATTATCTGGATGTTAAATCACAAGGCTTTGAAGACTGCGAAAATCTGACCAAATTTAAGGGTCTGTTTAGGATCATTTGCCGTTGTCTCGTTGGACCTGTTTTGCTTGCAGTAGCCCTGATGAGCTCCGCGACTAGTCGCCCCCATGCAGGACGCTGAAGCTTGCTTGGAGCTTGCGATCAAGTCGGCCACGGCAGGCATTAAGGCCTGGACTACTACACTGTACTGGACTTAGATGGACTTAGCAGTGGGAGAGAACTATGAAAACTTTGAAAGAACATCAGCGGGAGAGACAAGTCAGCCCTGATAAATTCAGCCATGAGCTGTTTGGCTTCTTTGGCTCCCTCAGAATGTTTACCAGCCGAGCACACCCTTAGCGCCTGTAAATACATCCAAGGTCTGCCGGCAAGTTGATCAAGTGATCAAAATGTAGCCGGTCAGATGCCGTGCGCATGGGTTAAGTTCCAAAAAGTTGCTTGTGGGAAAGCTGCTGTAGTTGCTACATGTTGCTACAACCTCCTATAGCCAACAAGAGGTTCCGCTGTTCAGCCACCTTCTATGTAAATCATTGCTGTTTTGCATTGAGCAGCACAGCAACAAAGTGCTAGCTTTCAGGATCTTTCAGGTATGCCGGCGTGTTGGTTCGCACAGCATACCTGGCTTTTTATGCTTGGCCTGAAAGCATCTGAAAGCATTGCCTTGCTTCCAAAGTTGACAGGCAGCAATGGTCACAACGTCATGTTGCACCTATTCTCGGCTTGCCGATTCTTGGCTTAACATGGCTTAACTAATAATAATAATAACAATAATAATACGTATTTAGTCATTGAGGAAAGAGTTGTCAAGAGTTATCAAGAGCTATCCAACATGCACTGCACACCGGCTGCCCGGCTGGTATGATTCTTGAACTTGGGTTGTGTCACGGTGTGTCACGGTATGTCACTATGCCAGGATGCGTGGGAAATCGCACACGGCACGGGAGTTGAAGCGATATATCGAATTCTTTCACGGCTCAAGAGCTGAGATCTTCAATGTGATGGAGCCACTTCAGTTGCATTCCACACAGTCTCTCGTGTAATTTCGCTGACGTAAGGGCAAGTTATGATGGTGTCCTGGTTTGATTCGCTAAATCCTCATCATCTAAATTGGCGTCGTCGGTAAAGGCTTCCGAATGAAGATATGAAAAGCCAATTTTCTTCCGTCTTAAGATGGGGCATGAACCGCATCAGGCCTTGGTAGATTCTGCTTCTTTGCTGTTTGATGTTCCTTGAATCACCTCATTGCACTATATTGCACTTAGGTATCAGGGGCGCGGGGGCGACGAAAAGTTCTTCGAGGACCTCAATCGCAACTCCTGCCAGACTTAGAGTGTTGGGTGGCGGGCTGGAACGCTGCATTGTGCCGAATGAATCTGAATGAAAGCTTCAGGGTTGGACAGATTGAACGCCAGCTTTGGAATCGAATCTTTGCGGGCTTGTGTACATCCGCAGGCCGTTCTGTTTCAGTAAAGTCGAAGTTTGCTGGAAAGACTTGTGCCAATTTTTGAAGATCACGGAGACATACAGAGACATCCACATCAAATGCCGTGAAGACATGTGAAGACTGGATGAGCCAGGTTTTTTTGACACATCAAACTCGTAGCTGGGCCTGCAAATGGGATTCTTTTTGTGCCTAGTGCTATCTAGTGCTCTTCAAGAACGACAGCTTGCAAGTTCTTGCCACAGATATAAGCACCTCATTTGCCATGTCTGTTGTGCCATGTTCAATTTGTGCATGTGGCAACGACCACAGAAAGAGATGCTTAAGGAGTTGCGATCCCTATGACTTTGACCAGCAGCTTGACTCATGTTGAGTTTCATTCCCATTCACCTTTATCATCGCCTGTAAGTTCTCGTTTCTCTGAGGACAGGCTCCTCGCAGGGGACAGGTGGCTTTGCTATCATCTTGTCCAGCGACACAGTTGCATCGACGCAGTCAATGTGGAGTGCGCACACCAAGTGGCACCGCCGTTGGATGGAAACTTGCTTGCACTTTCCTGTGCACATCCAGACCGCCCCAAAAACAAGAAAGAGACAAAGAATTCGACAGCAGTGCAGTGGTGCGTTGAACTGTAAGATCTGCAAGAAAGTGTTGGTACCTGTGTGCCCTACACTTGAACAATGACAACAGTGGCACAGGTGAGAAGTGATTGCTGATGATGCTTTTGCTGCTGCTGCTGATGATGATAATGATGATGAGGATGAGGATGATGGTGACGACGATGACGACGACCATGCTAAAGATGCCAAAGATGCCACCGGTGCAACGTATTTAGTGCATTTACATGCATTTACTGTAGTGGACTTTGCGGCCTTTCGTTTCACACGTAAGAGAAGGAGAGCATTCCAGAATCCAAGGCTCAGAAGCTTGAAAGCGAGCTGAAGGCAGAGGCTTGGACAATTCAATTTCTGCAATCAAAGTTGCCCGCTTCAGCTGGGTATGGCTATGATGTTTTGATTTGACATGGCCGGAATGTCGAGCCCAGCTCAGCTGCGCCTGCAGGTGTGCTTCATCCAGATCTCAGTTGATGACCCCAAAGGCATATGATGAGTGTGAGTGCTTTCTCCGGCCCATGAACTTGTGAGAAGCGTAGCATATCAATGCATATCAGCAAATATTCAGCAAATGGCATCACATGTCGAGGTCGCGGTGAAGGTAGTCGAAGCCGACGTCCCCGAACGAACAAGACCTAAATCAATCAACCCCTGCGCATTACATATAGCAGTGTGCGACGACAATATCCTTGCAGTGGACACACGTAGTCGTTCCCTGGTATCCTGAATCTTCACAAAAGAAGACCGCCCAGCTCAAGGCTGTTGACGGGTGCAATCGAATGTGCTGGTCAGGCGACAAGTACTTGGCCGACTTGGCCGCTTTTCGTGGCATGGATTTGAAGGAAAGCCAGGAGCTGATCAATCACTACCAGGACCATTCGGATACAAAGGGTGCTGCTCTCCATTGCACATTTGTGCACATATTATATATACGTATATTAACGCATATCAAGAAATACTAAGACTTAAGCCATCCTCTTGTCTGAAGGTGGTGGCTCTCTTTGAACGTTGAAATCTTAGACTGTGTGTGGATGTTTCAATACCGCGATGCGGAGGATCACTATGTGCCAATCCAAATGGATGGCTCAGAAGACGGCACCCCTTTCATACACATGATGTATCCTGGCTGAAATGCTGAAGTACAGATTTTTCCGGCCAGACTTGCCGCGTTTCTTCCTGTATACATGGCGTACTAACATGTATTCACCACCGGCAAACCACACACGTGCCCAGCTAGAGACGCGTTGGATTCGGTGGTGTTGAAGGTTTTGAAGCATCTCAAGGAAAGATCGTTTCAAGTTTCCAATTCTTGTGATCTGCTTATTAGCTTAGCATATGCATATATAGTACTTCCAAATTCGCCATTTTTCTTCGTCTGCAGTGCATCAGATCCAGCTTTTGATTCTCTTCTGTGTAGCGCGGTCGCTCAGGAACTACACCAAGAAGATGGCAACTCGGCCATGCTAAAACTGGTTGAGGGTTTGTTCCATTTTGTTCCACTTAGATATTGTATTGGCCCTGGACCTCAGATTTGCAACATGGTGCTGAAAAAGATTGAAAAAGTAAAAAAGGCCCAATGGCAATGGCCCCAATTCATCCAGCACTCGAGGTGGTGAACAAGATGATGCGATCATTTGTTGGATCGTCCGTTTGCCATTTCCTTTCCAACTTGCATCCCTTTGAGCACAAGATCTTTTTGGCTCGACACGGTGAGAGTGACCTGGCCGCATGACCGTGAAATTTACCAAATCCGATGTGTATTCATTGAAGCACCTCTGAGCGTTCATCCATGAATCATCATGAATCCATGTTCAACCTATCAAGATCACCTTTGTATAGAAAGATCCTGGAGCTGCTGCGGCGCAAACCGGCAAGGCGAGTTTAATGTGGAAATGCGAATAGGTGGTGACTCTGGTCTCTCCCCAAGAGGGGAAGAATTTGCACGCCGCGCTGCAGAGTTTGCAGCTTGGCTCAAGGAGGTTCCATGGTCGCAGTTTGTTTTGTGATGAATCAGATGGCCAAGAAAGGCAGAAATCCATGTTTTGTGTTTGCTCGTGGTCATGATGGAGCTCAGGCAAAGTATGTCGAAACCTGGTTGCACGTAGAAGCAGATGCCTGTTCAATGGTGCAAGAGTCTGCTACTTGTGGCACCTGGCGGTACAGCCAGAGAGCTGGCTAGACTTTGACAACCTTTGCACCTGACAGGTCTGTGGAGAGGCGAATGACTTGGTTTGCGTCACGGTGACTGAAAAAGACGCGCCTTGGCTGCCTTGGCTGCTATACTGAAATATAGGTCTCAAGCTACAGTCCAGATCTCCAAGGCAGCTGTTCAACCTCAACCTCAAAATTCGCATGCCCGCATGCATTTATACAACATGGCTTCTGTGGCCATCAACTCCAGGTGGTCAGTCTGCATGAACATTTGGTGCAGCTCTGCGGGTGTCCCAGCAGCAAAAAGCTCCGAAGGCCTCTCTTACGCAGAATTTGCACTACCCCGCGTCCTTAGAGGACAAGAAGCTTCCCAGAAAGAGCCGAGCGGCTCCAAGAACACTTCAGTTTTGAATCAATTTTTATGTTCAATTATTGTCCCTATCATATGGATTCATATGGCTACAAAATGCTATAAAGATAGCACCCGAAGCCCCTCCCTCTGGCTCGCTGGCGGCTGAAGTTCCACAGGTGCCTGGTGACCTGTGATGACTGGAAAGGCTTCGGTGATAGCAGTGGCGCAGAGGTGAACAGGTGACTACGGTTGGGATTGGAGATGAAAGCAGATGAAAGGAGCCATAGTGTGATGGTTCTTGGTGACAGAATGCAGTTAGCGTTGATAGATTCTGCCGCACATGGCAGGGAGTTGCCGCAGGTTTCAGGTTTCGGTGGGCGGATGTTTTTTTTCTTGACGCGTTTATTTTTACTTTTTAATGCAGGTAGGATATTTTTTTGATGTATTTATGTTTTTATCGGTGTCCCATAGATTCTGGGGTGCAGTGCCTGCTATAATTAATGAGTTCTCTTGAAAGAGACGGCCATGTTTGACCGAAAAACACGACAGCTGACGGAACATGACAGGTACATGCGGCTCAAGCGTTTGCAGGCAGGGAATTCGGCATAGTTCGGCCAATATCTGAAGATCAAAGGTGGGACTTGATTGCAGCGTCCTCCAATTTCGCACTGTGCCCTGTCAGGTGGGTTGGGGCGCGGATTTTGAAGATGCCCCGAAGAACATGGATGACCTACGGCGTCGCTTGAATGGAGCCAAGGCTGGCTCCTTTCAGATCTTTCAGACTCAGCAGGCGGTGTACGCCGGTGCACTGCAGATTGTTAGGTCTTGATTCGTGATGGAGAGTGATTGACTGTCCTGCGCACAAGGTGGCAACTTTGGTGCTTGTTGATGGGGACACATCAAGTGCAGGGCAGGTGTGCTGAGCTCAGCGTGGTCCATTCAGTGGTGCAGTCTTGAGGACTCACTCAGGCTTCAGGCTGGATTTCTGGCCCTTTCATGTCAAATCCACACAGAAGCTTGGCACTTCACCAGCATGCTGCATGCTCTTCGGTCTGGGCAATAAGGGTAAGTATTTCATTGACTGCAGTTGTTTTGGATCTCTGCGCTACAAATCTGCTAACGTTTGCCTTCTTCCCGCACTACTCTTCCTTCGTGTGCTCTTGCACGTATATCGTAGAAAGTCATTCGTAAGGCCCAAGGCCCTGGTCGAGCTCTAGATAGCTTAATCATTGCCACGATATGTCATGATAAAGCATGCGATCTTCAATGATTGCATCCGCATGCTTCCGCATCATGCCAGGCAGTTGTCCACAGCATGTGATTCATTATTTTTGTCCTTCCTGCAACCGTCAGACGAACCAGCAGTGAAACAGTCGAATCTAGCTGAACAGCCACAGCCGTGGAGCTGGTAGCACGAAGAACATCGAAGAACCGCTTGTTGTAGAGAGGACATGAGAGGACGCTGGGAATGGGCTTAAGACCATGATGACTTTCTAGAGTGCTTTCTAGAGTGGTATATGGTCGTTACATGTCGTTACTGTATGGAGCTGTGACGTGTCCAATGTGACTTGGAGTGGGATTTGACAGTTTGGTGCCAAGGCCTGGCAGACTGTGGACGTCCTCCTTGCGAAGAACCATTGACACTGCTAAGTTCATTGAGCATCCCGTCCTGACAGGTGGGCGATAGATGTGCTGTCCAGTGGTCCATCGTCTCAAATCTGGTTTTAACAAATTCAACGAATTCTTGATGAAACAACTATAAATTGGTCATCCGCCATTTTGAGACAAACAAATCCCTGAAATCTATTGAAATCTTGAAGGTTTCTTTGGGGGGACCCAATGAGAGTGCATAGACATGGTGAGGCCCTGATGGGAAGCCCTACTTTCAGATGCGGGGGCAGCAATTCAGGACGTTGCACATCGTTGCACATCGTTGCACATCGTTGCACATCGCTGCACATCGTTGCACATCTTCCATGTTATTCCATGTTATTCCCCTGAAGTTCTGACTGCAGAGCTTCCATGCCTTCAGCAATTTGCAGACTTGATCGCGACTATCGTTTGATTGTGCTTGATTTTCTGGTGGAAAGCTGGACATGCTGCCACTGCTGCAATGGACGCGGGCTACGCGGGTCTGCTTTCGTTACTAGGAATATGGATGAAGTGTATGCTGGCGAGTACGATGGTCTTACTGAGGAGGACTGATGTGGTCAGCCCCCTGTACTGCAGCAACAGGTAGCATTGGTAGCATCAACAAGCTGTGGAAAAAGGTCTGAGGTTATTGAGGTCGGCGAAGCGTCTTGCATTTGGGATTGCAGGGACCTTCAGACGCAGGACATTAAACAGAAGGCACCCAATGTTATTGAGGACCGTGGCTTGACAGCAGGTAGGCGCGTTAGAGAGAGGTGGTGGTAGTTTAACCGAATTGAACCTGAAAGCTTTGTGGCGATTGTTGCAATTGATGGCCGCAGCAGACAGGCCTAAGCACGTGCTAGTGCTAAGGAAAGCGAGACAAGCTTGGATTCAGATATCCTCGAGGTGAGTCTTACTACGACACCGGCTTGCAGAAGAGCATGTCAGGGATGACAACGCTTGCAAAATCTGGTGATGGGCCTTTGGTCTCCTGCTTGCCTTCCAATTTTTCCTTTTTTGCTCCTATAGTCTGATGGCGGGCAACAATTCAGCGCTCGATATTTCCTTCTTCTGTTTGGGTATGTTTGGGTCAACGCTGGTATTATCTGAATCTCAAAAGGCGTTTGCGGCATATACTGTAAATATATCTCAAATGCACAAAACACGCAAACATGCTTAGGCCCACACAACCACGCTCAGTCCAAGGCATACTTCCACAGATCTAGGTCCTAGGTATTTTTCTTAAGCTTTGAAGGCTGTGGTATTGCATTGTCATTTCAAAGGCATGCGGCATGCCATTGCTTGAGTGAACATTATTCGAATATGCAATATGCTTTCAAAGAAATCCATTATGCTGTAAAAGGTGCAGCGTGTCATTGGCAAGATGCAGGATGTGTTGAAACAATTGTGCTTTTTAACCACTATTTTTCCTTCTAATTATTACGCACAATTATATGCTTTCCGTAACTTGGAACATATTATACTTTCTCCAGAAAACATAGCATCTCCTTAAGGAAACCTTAGTTTGCAAATTACGCAGAGTCCCATGCAAAAAGTTAAGGGATTCTTGCAGCAGGGTGCAATGTTCCTTTTGAGGAAAAAGGGTGCACTGAGACGAAGCAATGCCAGAAATGCGCCAATGTCAGTAAACATGCAGGGGCGTTAGCACATAAATGCACATAATATATATATAATAATTATATATATAGCTACAATTAAACATTTATACACATATATATGTATGTATGTATGTATGTACCAATATATATATATATATATCTATAATATATAATTTTATGGTTTGGAATTGTAATCATGTATACAGTATACACATAAAATACATGCTGTACTTATACATATATATATACCTTTGACGTCTCCCTTTTCTCCCTCTCTCTCTTTCCCTATGTTCTTACATATGCATATGCTTGCGCGGCACTGGCTCAGGGTTTGGAGGGTGGGTGAGGCAGAGCAAGTACCTTCACGTTTATTGGAACTAGTAGTGCGTTTGATGAAGTCGCAGAGGCTGTGATTCAAATTGATCTTGAAATGGCAATTGACATTCTCGGCCCATAAGGATGTGATTGCAAGGTGACTTCCTTGCATCTTCGGTAGACCTGTATTCTTGGTTTGTCATGGCAGCTTCGGAATCAAATGCAACCACCGCACGCCAAAACTCTAAGTGAGACCTGTGAGTGTCCTTTCCAGTTCAAATCCGAACTTTTTTTTTCCAAGATTGATGGGAGATGTTGGAAGATCCCTCATCTTTCGTCCTTTGAGGCTAGAATCTGTGATGTCCCATTTGGAGCGGATACAGCAGCCTATCCTGATCATCTCGCATCAGGCCCACTGAGGGCTAACTTGGGACATCTTGGGACGTGTCCTGAGTGCGCGATGAGCGTGGGATTTTCAAGAAAAGGATTAAAAGGATTATCCTTCAACAACTTTCACAACTGCCATACCACTTGGAGGCAGTCCTGCGGATGATGTATGGCTGGCTCATGCACATCAACAGAGAGGCTGCAATTGAGACACAGGCCGGAAAGATGGTGACTGTTTGGGCAGAATCACATAGGCGCCCCAAGTATGTGAACATCGTTGTTCAATGTGATTTGAATTTCATCGCGTGTCACTCCATTGTTGTTGGACTTTCCCTAGGTCTGAACTGCGAGCTTGTACCTAGGACCTAGAAGTGTGACCAAAGTTGCACCAGGTTCCGCAGCATATGATCGTGAAGATCACTTTTGATGGACTGGGAGGTCCTCCAGCAGCTTGGCTGCACGTGCTGGCACGTGCTGGCAATTGCTGGCACACCTGGCCAGCCAATCTTGGTGTTGACATCGTGTTTCCCATCAAGATATATCTCAGGTGGAGAGGCGATATCCCCTTGGACCCATGGAGATGGCTGACGATGGTCAAGCAAATTTCTAAAGTTTGAGCCCCGCTGGTCGCAGCGAAGCTGCTGCCTACCAGATGCCCTAAAACTGCCAAAGTAGCCTACCAGGTTCGCTTCATGGCATAGGAGAAAATTCACGGAGCTTATGTTTATGTTTCTTCCTACATTTTTTGTTTGTTACCAGGTCTTGACCTGACAAACTTATTCACAAAGGATCCCAGATGTTGGCTTCATGCCTGAAGTGGATGTGGCGGTTGCAGTCCTCCCGACCCTGCACATTTGGCGCAGGTGTGAAGTATTTTCTTTAGGCTAGGCAATAATTTTTCTTAATCCTGGATGCCGTCCTGGCAGCAAAAGGTGAAGATGGTCTTGCTGCAGATCTCTCATTCCTTCTGTCGGCACCTCTAGAGAAAGTATGAGAAAGTGAAGGTTTGTGAATTTGTCGGGAATGTGTATCTGTGTGATGATTGCCCGCAGGCTACGGAGGCTCTCAGAATTCAAGAGGAAATGGAACAACGCTGCCATTCTCACCATATCCATAGTGATTGTCTGCCTTCTTCAAAACGGCCCAAGGGCTTACCAAATGCAAGTGGTTCTTTGACTGATCTGATTTGATGTGGTTAAGTGTTAGTGATACCAGTAGTACCGCACAAGGCGGTGGCGGAAGTTTCAAAAATAGGAAACCTATAAGAGAGGTTGGTTGTAGTGAATCACGGATGGCAGAGCGAATCCACTGATGGACCGAAAGGTGGTTGGAGTTGTGTTTTCTGGAGTGGTTGCAATGGTTGCAGTGGTCACCTCACCACAACTGCTGGATGTAGTGTGGTGTAGTGCAGTTGTAGTTGTGGTTGTAGGTGTAGTTGTAGTGTAGTGGAGTTGTAGTTGTAAGTTGTAGTTGTAATGTAGTGTAATTAGTGTAGTGTAGTTGCAGTTGTAGTTATTGCGTGGTGTAATTAGTGTAGTGTATTGTAGTGTACTGTTGTGTTGTGTACTGTAGAGTGGTATCGTGTAGGGTAGTCTAGTGTATTGTAGTGTAAAGTAGTGCAGTTGTAGTTGTAGTGTAGTGTCATGTAGTGCAATGTAGTGGTAGATACAGTGTAGCGTAATGTAATGTAACTAGTGTTGTGTTGTGTTGTGTGATGTAGTGTAGTTGTATTTGTAGCTGAAATGTGCTGCAGTTTAATTGGTGTATTGTAGTGTAATTGTAGTGTAGCTGTTATTGTGGTTGTAGCTGTGGTGGTGGTGGTGGTGGTGGTGGAGGAGGAGGAGGAGTAGTAGTAGTAGTAGTAGTCGTCGTCGTCGTAGTTGCTGTTGTAGTAGTTGTAGTGTAATTTGTGTAGTGTAGCGTAATTAGATGTAAAAAGTGTAGCGTAGTGTGATTACTGTTGTGTAATGTAGCGCGTAGTATATTTGTACTTGTAGTTGTAGCAGTAGTGTAGTGTAGTGGTACTTGGTAGTCGTAGCTGTCTATCTATCTATCTATCTATCCATCTATCTATCTATCTATTTATTTATCTATCTTTCTATCTGTCTATCTATCTATCTACCTATCTGTCTGTCTGTCTATCTCTCTCTCTGTCTCTCTGTCTCTCTGTCTGTCTGTCTGCCTGCCTGCCTGCCTGCCTGCCTGTCTGTCTGTCTGTTTAGCTGCAGGCTTGAAAACGAAGCTATTCTGCGAGACTTCCTCAATTTTTGAACTTGACAACGTCAAAAACGAAACAATTCTGGGAGACTTCCTCATTTTTTCGACGTTGACAACATCAAAAACGAAGCAATTCTGCGAGACTTCCTTCAAAAATGGAAAGTTGAGTGCAGAGCTGACAGCCTCGTGCCAATGCGTTTTGCGATTTTTCCACTCCACCTGTCTAAAGTATTGCGCCTGCCAGGAAAAAGTGAGGCCAGGTCATACGAAGTGCTGCACCTGTCATGCAAAATCATCTCAGCAAACCTGAAGATCCAAAATGCAACCCATCTCAGGAAATCAGCGCCCGGACCTCCTAACATCTCTGATGAACATGAACATGTCTCTTATACCGCGCCTGCCACGGAAAATGTATCTTTGCAGATCTTCTTCAAATGGGGATGCATGTTTTTTGGGCCTGGGCACCTTTTTTTGGACCTGTACATGTTTTTTGGTCCTCGCCGGAATTATTTTGGGACCTAGGGTCAAAAAAAAATGTGGGGGACTTGCTTGTGTGTTTTCTGGACCCTGTGGTTTTTTTTTTGGACCTGCATGTATTTGTGCTGGACCCAGGGATTGTTTTTTCGACAACCAAATTAATTGTTTCTGAGCTCGGTTTCTGTTTTTGGACCCGTGCACCTGCTTCGTGGACCTTGCCTCCAGAGGGTGGGGGGAACTCCATTGTTATAGGCGCTCGCATTGGGCTGGATTTTTTTGGACCTTGGCGCATTCTTTTTTGGCACCCGTACGCGTTTTTTTGGACCTGGCACAGGGTGGGGGGAAGTTAGATCTTGTAACCAAATGAGCGCAAGAAGTTGTTGAGAGACAAGGGGGGGAGCTTAGACATTGAAACCAAGTTGAGATGCATGCAAAAAGTTGTTAAGAGGCCAGAGGTGAAGTCTTGAGACCAAGCGAATGAATGCAGGAAATTGGTGAGAGGCAGCACAAGGGGGGGAAGTTTAGATATTGAACACTAAGCCTAGACATTAAGCCTAGACATGGCACTTCCTGCCCAGTTGCATGCTAGCGCAGCTCTAGCGCCCTGCTGTCTGAAGAATTGCGATGCAGACGCGGCTGGACAGAAACTGGAGAATCTATCCCAAGGGGGTTTGGGAAAGCGCCAGGTCGAGCAGGAGGGAAGGATGAGGTGCAGCAGGAGGGTGTGCAGGTCCAAAAGAATGGTCGCCATCTCCAAAAGAATTGTAGCAAGGTCCAGTACAAGTGTCCAGGTCCAAAAGAAATGTAACGAGGTCCAAAAAAAGTGTTGTCCCTTCAAATGCCCCACGCCTGCCATTGTTTTTGGAAATGCTACGAGCACCTCACGTTTTTCCTCACTTTTGACACCGTGCACAATCCCTTGCGCCTGCCACGTGAAACGGCATCTGAACGTCCAAAAGTGCTCCGAACCCGTCAGCTTTTTACATTTTTGACTTGGACATGTGCTTCGCGCCACAACAGCATGCACTTTTTCGACATCTCAACTTCCAAAAGTGGTCTGAGCATGGTGTGTTTTGTACATTTTGACTTCCAAATGTGCTTTGCACCAGAACAGTAACAGCGTGCACTTTTTCGACATGTCAACTTCCAAAAGTGGCGCGACACTGATGTTTTTTGCACATTTTGACTTGGAAATGTGCTTCGCGCCACAGTGCCGTGCACTTTTTCGACATCACAACTTCCAAAAGTGGTCCGACGTTGGTGTGTTTGTTTTGTACATTTTGACTTGGGAAATGTGCTTCGCACCACAACGGCCTGCAACTTTTCATCTCTCATCTGACCCCATGGCTCCGCACCCGCCGCTTTAGCGAGCCTACTTTGCGACCCTCCGGAGCCACAAATCATGGGAAAAACACAGTGTTTCGCGACTTTCCTACCTTTTCGCGCACCTGCATCTTCTTTCTTCTGATTCTTTCTCTTCTCTGATCTTCTCTCTTCTTCTCTTCTCTTCTCTTCTCTGGCTCTTCCCATTTCTGCTTTTCATCTGTCCACATTGTCGGAAGTTTGACTTCTAAACTTCCTTCGATCAGAATATGGCATCAGAAAATTGAAAGTGAAACCCAGGTATGTCGTGCGTGGGCAGGAGAAAAGGATATTGGACTTATTGTGTTCCAGGGTTGTGAACGTGCTTGATTCTGGAGGTCGTTCATCAAAGCATTCTCACAACATCATGGCGCTTCCTACTTGTCATGAAGCAGGCTGTTCTGGGAGAGAGGGTACATCGATAGACCCGCATAAACCACCAGCGCCATAGGATGCTATGGGCAAGTACTTCCACTTAGTGTTTATGATATTTGATTACAGTATATGCCAATAATTAAGTCCGTTGATTGGGACTGTTTCCACCGTCAAGCCTTCCATCAAGCCATTGACTGGGAATTTGATTCAGCAGCAACCAGTCTGATTGTACTGGTCATTTTTTGCATCATAATATGTCACATTTCACATGTTTGTTGCTTACATTATCTTCATAGTGGTGGATGATCAATTTTTGGTTGATGAGGATAATGACAAGGATAGGACAGATTCTCAGTACTTTTTTAAGCGGTTTAAACCTCAAGACGCTTTGGGCACCCCTCGGTTGTTGGGGGCCCGATTTTGATGCCCCGATTTTGATCCCATGCAAGGTGCGCCAAATGAGCATGGTGCCGCCAGACTGAAATTTGATCTGACATCAGTCTGATCGTCAACATCTACAATTTCAATCAGTTTTAGATATCAGCATCAGATATCATCAGATGGCATTAGTCATTGATCACTCCATTTGTAAAAAGTGGGATCCCCAGTATCCATGCGAGTCATATCAGGTCAAAACCACTTGCCCCCCAAGTAGGACAATGAGCATCACATAACATCACACAGCATTCCAGACCAATCCACAGCAGGTCGTCGATTCCGTTCAGATTGAGGATATTTAGATAATTTGAGCACATAATCAGTTTTATATTTGTCAGTTCGGGTCATTATCCACTATTCTGTTTATTTTTGATGATCATTAAGATTTGTTTTAACTGTTAAACATTCTTGATATTCTTGATTGTGCAGCCGGTGTTACGTTTCTGGTTGCGAAGCTGAGGCCAGCGAGGCGGGGGCCAGGCCTGGCCCGCCCCGATGTTTGACATCGCGGGGATCCAAGGTGGGATGTGCTGGGACTGAGAAAAACAATGAAAACAAAGAGAAACAAAGAGAAAACAAAGAGAATGGATTCTGAATAGACTGAATTTGAGTGAATAGACAGACAATCAATCCATCGATGAGACTAGAGATGACTAGAGGAAATAGAGGCGAAGCTATGGAAAAACCAAGTCAAAAGGGTGTCCCGCTAAGATTGCGCACAGGATCAAACCTGGTCCATTGCGTGGCTTGGATGCTGCACCATTTGATGGAAGATCGCCAACATGAGACAATTGATCAGCTTTATGCAGAGCTTCCCAACAAACTGGTATCAAACTTCTTCGTTTGCATTGCTGACAGATTGCAAATAGGCAGCGGTATTGATAGCTGTAGACTTCAGACCTCACCGCACAGCCATGGGTTCTTGCTCCAGTTGCCCAGCAGATGATGGATGGTCCTCTGAGCATCAGCAGCATGCCCCCATGTGGTTGGTGAAAGCTGCCCAGGTGCTTGAGATGACAGGCAGATTTCGGCCACATCAGATTTTGAAGGCTGAAGGTCTTTTGGCCAAATGGAGTGCGAATAAGTTTACCATGTTTGTCTCTCATCAATGGCTAGGGTGCCACCACCCAGATCCCGACGGAACACAGCTGGAAGAGCTTCAAGGCTTCTTGCGCAACCTTTTTGCCAAAAAGATCAAAATTGAGGCAGATGTTATTTCGCAATTCAATGGCCGCTCTCCGACAGAAGCAGAGCTTTCGCGTTTCATTTGGTTGGATTACTTCTGCGTTCCTCAAGTGATGGATGGACATGGGCCGAATGGACTGGCAGAGCAACAGTCGCTGTACATTCAGAGCATTCCAAACTATGTGGATAGTTGCAACTTGTTTGTCGCATTAGTTCCGAATGCCATGCACAGCGATGCAGGATCACAGTGCAACATGCACACCGCCCGCGCCCGCCCGGACATCTCCACCGCCCTCCGCGAGAACGTCGACATCGTCTTCTCCACCTGGGACACCTTGGCTGCCGCCCGCCCTCCGCCGCCCGCCGCCTCCGCTGCCCACAGCTGGGACTTCCTCGCCTGGCCCCTGGATGGCACCGCCCGCTATGTCTGCACCACCTGCGGCGCCACCACCATCGACCACAAAACGCGGCCCAAGTGCCCTGGCCGTCGCGTCTGGAGCAACGCCCGCCGCAAACTCTCCCTGGAACTGCACGAGCTCCTCAAGCAAGGCCCCTCGCCTCACCACGCCGCCGCCCGCCGCATCATCGATGCCCTCCACTTGCCCGCCGGGCCCCCCTCCACTTCCCCATGACTGCTGGCCCCCTTCCCGCTGCCGGGTACACCATCAACATCGGCTCCCTCAATGTCGCCACCCTCGCTGGCCGCCTCCCGGAGGTCTTGGCCCTTGCGCGCCGCCACTCCCTCCACGTCCTTGCCATCCAGGAAACCCGCGTCCACTTGGATTCCCATGACGCCGTGGCCCGCGCCGCCCAGCATGCCGGCTATTCCGCCCACTTCCTGCCGCCCCCCCCCGCCTCGCCCGGCGGCGGCCTCCTGTGCCTCACCTCCCTCCCGGCCGCCTCCTGGGCCCTTCCCGCCAACCCTGCCTTTGACCACCGCGCCCAGGCGCCCCGGCTTCACAGGCCCCAGGCCCGCCCGGTCACCCTCATCAACTTCCACGGTCCGCCCTCCGACCCCAGCACCGCCGCTGAGGCTGCCACCGCCCTCCTCGCCCAGGCGCAAGAACTTGGCGACCCTTGGATCTTCATCGGCGACCACAATCGGCTCTCGCACCAATGGCCCTACGCCACCTTGGCAGCCAACGGGGAAGCACATCTTTGGGACGACTTCTTCCTCGTGGCCCCGCACCACGGCACGCGCCGCCGCCCCGACGGCACCTACACTGGCCGCACGGTGGACTTCGCCCTGGCCCACCGGCAACTCCGCCCCACCGCTCGTCACCAACATCGCGGCCCTGGAGATCACGACCTCGTCGTCTACAGCGTCGAATGGAACCCTCCACCGCCCACGTGGACCTTTCCTCGGCCCCCGTCCTTCGGCGCTCCGAGCCCGCAGGACGCCACGCGCTGGGACGCTTGCTGGACTGCCTCCGGCCCCGCCTTCTCCGACGCCCTGGCCCGCAACGACCTCGACACCGCTTGGACGCTCCTCTCCAACGCGGCCGAAACTGCCTTGGGTGCCCCCACCACCACCCGCTGCCACGCCCCCCTCCCCAGGGTCCGGGACCCCACGGGCCACACCCACGCCCCCCGCTGCCAACCCTTGGTTGAGCGCAAGCTTCCGCCGCCTTGCCCGCCGCGCCGCGGAGCGGTCCCGCTCCCCACCCCCCCCCCCCCCCGCGGCTGCTCGCCCGCATCCACACCGCCGCCGCGGACCTCCCGGCCCACGCGAATTTCTTGGCCCAGCTGACCCTGGGGAACCCAGGCCGCCGCTGAGGCCCTTTTTGCTTTGGCGGACCACACTGCGGAGCAGTGTGCGTCCCACCGCCTTGCTGCCTGGAAGGCGGCTGTACAGGAAGACCTTCCGCGATTGGCCAAGTGGATCAAAGCCACGGGGCCATCGCATCCTCCGGGGGAACCCCGCCACCCTGCGGATGTGGCCGCTGAGCAAGCTGCGCTGTGGCAGGCTCGTTGGTCGGCCCCACCGGTCCCGTTGGAACCGGTCGCTGCCCTCTGCGCCCAGGTTCGCTCGGCGGCTACGCCTTGCGCCCTGGAGCTCACCGCTGACGATATTGGCGCAGCTCTGCAGAGGGCGGCGCGCACTGCCGCTGGCTTAGATCAGTGGCACGCCACAGAGCTGCTCCGGCTTCCCCCCCTTTTTAGGGAGGCCGCCGCACTCTTGTGGCACCGGTGCATTAGCACCGGGCGGCTACCTACTACTTGGCTCCACGTCCGCATCACCTTGTTGGACAAGAGCGACGGCGGCAAACGCCCCCTCGCCATTGCTGCCATCATGTACAGGGTTTGCATGTCCGCTACTCTGCGCTGTCTCCGTTCCTGGATCGCTGGCTGGGCGCCCCCCACCTTGTATGGTGGCATCCCTGGCCGGGGTACCGATGGCGTGCATAGCGCCCTCTTCGGTGCCCTGCACCAGCAACAAGCTGGTCGCTGCATGGCCGGCGCCAAAGCCGACATCCAGCGGTGCTTCGACTCTGTTGACTTTGGCGTTGCCTTTCTTGTCTTTGACCACTTGGGTGCGCCGGCAGGCCTAACAGAGGTCCTGCGTTTCTTTTACGCGGGTCAAACCCGCTGGTTCATCTCCCGTGGGTGTGTCCACCCTACCCCGGTCCGGGTCCAACGAGGCCTCTTGCAAGGCTGCCCTGCCTCCCCTGCCTTGCTCAACGCCATTATGGCGATTTGGTCTCTGGCCGTGACCCGGGCCCACCCACGGATTGGTTTGGCCATTTATTTGGATGACCGTAGTCTCTGGGCCCAAGGCCGGGACGCGGTCTCCGCGCTCGTGGCTGCTGCAGAACATGCGGCGGACACGGACCGCATCTTCGGTTTCACTGTGCACCCCGCAAAGCGGGAGTGCTTCGCTCTTTCCCCGCGGGACCGCCGGGCGCTGAGCAGCGAAGCTGCTCTCCTCGGCCCGGTCACCGCTGCCCCCACTTTGCTCGGCGTGACTTACCGCTTCGGGCGTGCGGGCAAGCCGGCGCACACCGACTTGACCACCAAGCTCATCCAGCGGTGCCGCAAAATCGGTCGGGTTGCCCGTTCCGTGCCCCTGCGCCGCGCCCTCCTCCAGCTCCTCGTGGCCTCCCTCTTCCGCTGGCTTGGTCCTTGGAGCACCTTCCCTGCCAACACCCTCCGCCGCTGGTCCTCCCACATGGAATCCGCCTTGTGGGGCCGCCGGCCCCCCCCCGGCCGGGACCGCTACCTCTTCTGGGTGACGTTTGGGCCCCACACCATGCATCCCGAGTACCTCATCCACTTCGAAGCCCTGCGGCGCGAATGGCGTGCTGGCTCGTCGACCCCTTGCCCTACTGCGACTGCCGCCTTCCAGTTCTTCCGCTGGACCCGCCACCCCACCCACTGGGACACCCCCTATGGTCCCATCCGCCCTGCTTGGGATACCGAGCGCCTCCTGGGCCACTTGGCTGCCCGCTCCTGGCTCCGCCTCCTCTGGGACCACGACACGAAAACGGCTGACCCCATCCGCCCCACCCAGGAACCGTTGACTGAGCACCTCCGCCCCTTCCGCTCCACCCTGGATCCTCACCTCCGCCGGGTTGTGCTTGGTTGCGCTGCTGATGCCCGCCTCCTCGCCCGCCTGGGTCACAACAAACCCTGCGCCTGCGGCAACCCCTGCCCCAGCAGAACACACCTCACCTTCCAGTGTCCGCTGATCCCGTGGTCTCAGGCTCGGGCTACTGATGCTGAGCGCCGTTTGCTCACAAGGCTGGTGACCTTCCTTCCCGCTACCCTGGATGTGCTTGATCCACCAGTCGACCTGGTACATTATCTGCTACGACAACGCGCTGCTGGGACCTCTATCATCTGCATGGCGTTGGACGGCTCTTGCTTGGACCCTACAGGTCAAACTTTTGGATGTTGCACTGCTTGGGCTGCTGCTGCAGCGGATGGCCACACTTTTGGCGGTGCTCTTACTGGTGCGGACCATACTCCCCACTACGCGGAGCGCATGGCCCTGTGGTATGTCACTGCGGCTGCAGCCGCTGCGGCTCTGGATGTCTTGGTCCTTACGGACAACGAAGCGGTGGCGCGTCGCTTTGACAGCCTCCTTCGTTATGGGAGGAAGGCAGGCGATGCCTCGGAGTTCTGGCATCAACTACTGGCACGCTGGCGACCAGCTTCGCGATTGGCTTGGATCCCAGCGCATGGCAAACGCCCGGGATGGACACCCCCGGCAGGATATCCTTCCCCTGATCTCTGCAGGGCCATGAATGCAGCTGCCGATTCGACAGCGAAACAACTGGCGCATGATCATGGGGCTGGATACTACACAGTGGCGCAGGAACGACAAGATGCTCTGCGGTGGGCATCTACTGCTGTGCAGCGACAAAGCGTGGTGACACGCGCATGGTGGGACCTTTGCTTACCTCACTTCGTTTTTCGAAATGAGGCCTGGCAGATTCGGAACTAGCTGGATGTCATTGGCGTCTTAACTGCGACTTTGTCGTGCAGGTTGACGTCTCATGGAACAACAACAACAACTGCACACCTGGCTAACAAGGGGTTGGTGCCGCACCGAGCTCTGGTGCCACGTCTTGTCCACAAGATCCACTCCTATCATTGTGGTCAAGAGTTGAGAGGTGGCGGAGTTCCGAGCGCCATTGTGGCACCGATACCCAGTGCAGTCGGGTATCTTCGCCCTTGACAATGACTGTCAATCTTGTTGCTTGGGCTTGAGGTGATTGTTCTTCTCAAAATAAAAATTCTTTGGGGATCTAGGGAATATCCCCCAGCCAAAAATCACTGGTTTAGGAGTGTTGATATTGCAGGGAAGGTATTACTTTTTTGGTGCCGAGCAAATCCAAGGTTGCAAGATCATTCAGAAGGCTTTCGACCAGCATCTCCCAAAGCTTCGGCATGGCAAGAGCATGACAACCTACCGTTTGCATCTGGCACTTTGTGAAGATATGACAGGTCTTGCCAAAAAGCATCGCAGCCTTGAAGAATTCCTTGTGGATTTTTCTTTCTCCAGACCTTTGGCACAGTACCAAGGCTTAGGCCCGGTGGCATGCGCTGCTTTGTCGGGAGATCATGAGCTTATTCGTGGCCTTGCACTGCACTTGCCAAAGCTTCCCTCCATACTCGGGCACCAAGTATGCCTGAGGTCTTCAGCACCGCAGGCCTCACGCCTTTGCATTTAGCTGTGTGGTTCAGAAGCCGCGACCTGAGAGTGTTGGAGACTTTGCTGGAATTACGAGCAGATCCCACGACTCCACCATGACTGCTGCGCCGCCCTTGGGGTGGTGCAGCAGAAAGGGTGCTGTGGAGCTCCTGGTTCGGCATGGTGCAGGGGTGAATGCCCAGGTCAAAGGTTTTTCGAAATTTTGTCCCATCCATGCAACTGCAGCCACGGGAGCTCCATGCGACGTGGTCACCAAGTTGCTGGAGCTCCAAGCTGATGTGCATGGGGGAAAAGGAGGACTTGCCAGTGCCTCACCTTTGCATTTGATCGCACTGTGCGGCGACTCTGGCAACGAACTGAGGATGACACAGCTGCTCCTGAAGAGCAGGGCAGACATCAATCAAGTTTGCCAGCCAGAGGGCTTTATGAGGAAAGCTGAATTGGTTTCCAGGGCTTACAGCCACTGCAGAAGAAACAGAAGAGAGCCAAACCTGCTCGTGCAATATTTCAGGGATAGCAGCACTACACCGTTGGGTTGGTCTGTGATCTTCAGCAATGATGGTCTTTTGGCTTTCCTGCTGAGGGCACGGGCAGACCCGGAGATCCGGAACAACCGAGGTCTCCGACCCATCGACTTTGCCACTTCCACGAGAATCCAGCAAATTCTTCACGACCCCACCACACATATCTACCTCCTGGAGCACAACTCTGAGCTCACCAGCGAAAGTCTATGAAAGTCTATAGCCCAACAGACATTGACAGAGCTCGAACCTGTGTGCTGTGTAAGCAACGGTTTCACCACGTTTCTTTTTATCACACGTTCGTTCATAATGTACGGTGTACACGTGCCACAGAACGTCGTCCCATTTTGAGATCCAGAATGCTCACTCGTCGTTCTGGGCGTTTCCGAAAATTGCGGGACCTGGAAAACTCCAGATCACAGCCATGGACAGCCATCATTGTTTTGTTTAGCGCCCAATTTTTTGGACTCTAATTCTTGTTGGCACGCGGCGAAATTCTAATAATTATATATATATATATTATACTTTCTTTTACTGTAATTTATTATATATAAATAATTATTGGGTTTACTTTTCCATGGCTTCCACGACCCCCCAGCTCTACACAACTAAGACAACTAGCTCCCCGAACGCAGCTCTGAAGCGACCTCTGAATCGTCATTACTGTAAATATTTGTAAATGTTTCACACAATTCCACTTGGTTGTTAACCCCTGTGATCGAAGAAACCGCCGCGGAACCAAAATCCAGTTTTCACATACCCGTTTCATATGAAACCTGTGGTAACAGTGCGGGTGCTGAAGCAGCCCCGCCATTGATTTCTGACGCGGTGGCGAAGCCGAGTTGGACGAAAAATCGGCGAGTCGGCCTTGGGTGCCTAAGCCGGTGCTAGGGTTCAACAGTGTCCATGGAGGACTGCCCTCCATGGCATGGCATTTAGGAAGAGAATCTTCGAGCCTGTTCAGACGAGGATGAGGTAGCCAGAAGTTCAAGGGGGGCAGGACCTTTCTTTTTGGAAGATCTGTGCCATCGTTGCAGAATATTCTAACTTGTTTCTCTGCGTTTTTTCTCCTACCATCTCCTACCCTATTTGGTACCAATAGACGCATGTTGGGGTGTTGTGCCCATTTCTAGCCCCACACATCTCCACACTCAACTCTCTTTAAAAAAACAGCAGCTGGAAAACTGGAAGCCAAAAGATCGAAAACTTGGGGCGGATGAATGACACCAATTACTATTTTTGCATTAACTAATGTTAATTAATTAACATGATGAGTGCTTTGTATTGACCGTGCCATTGTGATTATTTGTGTCTATTGAATCTATTGCTTGTCAATTATTCCGGTGAAGGATGTCCAAAAACAAGTTTTCATTCCACAGTGTCATTCTGACTTATGGTTTTTGCATGTTTTTGAATGTTTATTTTTGCTGCTTCCGTTTCGAAGCGAGACATCTCCAGATACAGCGCCAGTGCGGGGGTGACGTGTTCTCTTTTTTCAGTGTCGTTTTCCAGCAGCACATTTCCAGGAACAACATTTGGCTGCACAGTACCGAGACAACGCGCGATGTCATTTTTGTAGCAAAGTATCTCATGTGTCTCCGTTTGCACTTGTTTGCTGCACAGCAAAAGCATGAAGACAAGTTCCTGCTACATCTATAAGAAAACAGTCTTTCGCACAGAAACAAGACTAACTATCTGGAAAATCCTGGTTTGCAAAAGGCAATATTGAAAATCGTGTTTCGCACAAGACAATCTTGAAAAGCCTGTTTGGATTGGGGAGCACTGTGGGGGTTCCGGCTGGATCCCGCCACACAACATGTTTCTATAGAACATTATTTTGATGGCGCCCATGGCTTCCCAAGCGGTTATATACATAAAACGGTCGTTGAGACAGAGGATGTTCTTGGAGTATCTTGGAGTAAGGGATGTCTTTTTGTTCAATTCCAGCTGGCCTCTTCAAATGGCATTTAGCACGTTGGCCATCACTTTCACTGTCTGAAGGGCTGAATTCTGTGCCACTTCTACATCAAAAACACGTCCTGTGCACAGCCAAAAGAAGATTGTGCTTGTACAAATTCTTCAGTTTGTGCACATTTTGTCTATGGTTTGTGTGCGGTTTGTTTGTGCAGAAGGCTAGTCGCGAAAAAGGTCCAGGTGGGGGCACACAGTGGCAGCCACTGTGAACCAAGCTGAGAACAAAAATCATTCTCTTAGGAACCAGGCAGCAAAGAATATTTCTGACAATGCTTCGTAGCAAACTAGAAAGCCAAAGAACATGAAGAATAATACAGAAAACTGGTCTCGTTTTCTTTCCCAAACCTTTCCATTTCCAATGACAAATTGGTTGCACTGACAGAATCTCATGGGCGATTGTTTTTTGATGTGGCCGTCAGTCTTTCTTTGCGCACAGAACCAGAAAAGCGTGCTAATTGCAGCAAATTGCATCAAACTGCAATATTGATCAATATTGAATATTGAATTTAATGGTAGTTTCCAGGCATGTCTGCATATTGTAACGGCTGAGCTGCACGGACGCTGTCGATAGATGGAGAGGACGGCCCTCGGAGTGCCGGGTACCAAACAAACTTCTTTGAAGCGGCAAGCGGCTCTTGCTTTGTGAGAGCATCAGATGGCAACTGCGGATGGGGGTGGCGCGCAGCTTGCTCCACAATGATTGGCCACTTTCTGTCGAAGATCTTTTAATCGGATCGACTTTGACATTGACATGACATGACCTACGACAGAACGATTCCTCTCACGAGGCACAGAGTTTGCACGCAATACTATGCTTGCTGGCCTTAAACACACACACACACTATCTAAGCATCCAAGCATTTGCACCTTTATTATATCTTAAATATTAATGACATATGATGTTTTATGAATCCTTATTGCCAAAAAAGAAAGAATTCAATGCAGCTTAAGAAGGGTGAGGGGACCATGGACGAGACATCATGCGCGCTGCAGGAGATCATGTAGGTCAGGGTGCAAGAGAGGATGGCCATCCTCCACAATGAGAAGAGGAAAGCTTGTAAAGCCATTTCGATGTTGGAAGGGGGTTGATGCATGTAGGGAGGCTACAACGTCTACAACATACAGCAATTGAATGCGATTGATACAGTACACATCTGATTTCCTACTGTACCCCTTTCCTGCTGGATTTTCCCTTTCTTCCAACCTTCCATTCCCGTCCCGTTATCCGTTATCCTTTTGCGCCTTCTGTTTGCCCATAGGCTGTCTCAATGCTGCGGCTTCTCGAATTGAGTTTCCATGTGTTCCATGTTTTTTTCCTCTTGCCAGGGTGTTGTCGCAAGCGACGGGTGGAACAAATCAAATTCAGATTGCAACAGGATTGATTGAGGGTTTCACATTCTCGGGCAAATCTTTCACATTCATGTGTTCGCCGCTGATTCTGGCTTGGAATATGACAGATTCAAATTATGGCATGTTCAACATGCGTTTGGTTGTGACGCTGCTCCTTCTTGCGATTAATAGCTTTCCTGCCCGCGCCAGCGTGTTGCTCCTGCAAAGCGTTGGTGCAGATGTGGGAGATTGCAGGCAAACCGCCTGTTTGAGTTTGAGCTATGCAATCAGCCAAGTACAGCCACTGGACATCATTCGCATCAGTGCTGGCATCTTCACGGGAAGCCTCAACAGAAACCTCAATCTGGGCAGTCTTGGAAAGAGCAATTTTACCGTCGAAGGACCAATCGTGCAGTTGATTGCAAGCTGGGGCATAGTTGCTATATGTTGCTATGAAACTTCTTCGGAGGCATTTAGCCAGCAAGATTTGCAAGTAAGTTGAGTACTAGAAGCCTTTGGCAAGCATTGGAAGGGCGGGGCACAGATAGGTCAGATGAAGTCAGATTGAATCAATGGTTTGCCAGGACGGGGCGCGGAGACCATCATTGACCTGGAAAATCTCGGGCGCTTCATGATGTTGGATGCAGCTGCAGGCCATGTTGTTGTTCAGAAGCTGAGCATTACCCGTGGAAACTGTGCTGGCTTGGCTAGCAATGAAGTTGGGGCCGGATTTGCGTTGATCCTTGTCCATTTCTTTTTCGAAGTGCTGATTGTACCAAATTTTCGCCATGGCATGCTTTTCCTTCAGGCCAGCGCGATAATGACAAGCACACGCAAGGCGGAGTGACAAACTATGGCACCAAATAACTTGTCAGATTTGTCACGAATGTCACGAAGCTTTGGGCTTTTGTTTTGGCAAGGAATAGGGCGGGGCTAGGACGTTGGATCCTGATAAACTTTCTTTGTTCTACCCTGGGTGGGTCTTGGACGGATGAGCAGGGGCTCAATCCCGCCGTTGTCCCCCCTCTTCTCCTCATCCCTCCTGGGCTGTAGTGATTTTTATTGAAGCATAAGCAGCATCATCATCATAATAATAATCGAAGGAAGTTTAGAAGTGAAACTTCCGACAATATGGACAGTTGAAAAGCAGAGCAGGGCAGAGGCAGAGAGAAGAGAAAGATTAGAAGAGAGAAGATTAGAAGAGAGAAGATCAGAGAAGAGAGAAGAGTAAGAAGAAAGAAGATGCAGATGCGCGAAAAGGTAGGAAAGTCGCGAAACACTGTGCTTTTCCAATGATTTGGGGCTCTGGAGGGTCGAAAAGTAGGCTCGCTAAAGCGGCGGGTGCGGAGCCAGCTGGCCAGATGAGAGATGAAAAATTGCACGCTGTTGTGGCGCGAAGCACATTTCCAAGTCAAACTGTACAAAGCACCAGGTGCGGACCACTTTTGGCAGTTGAGATGTCGAAAAAGTGAACGCCGTTGTGGCGCGAAGCACATTTCGAAGTCAAAATGTACAAAACATACCAGCCTGGGAGTGCACGCCGTTGTGGCGCGAAGCACATTTCGAAGTCAAAATGTACAAAACGCACCACGTTCTTTCTGACCACTTTTGGAATTTCCGATGTGGGAAAAGTGCACGCCGTTGTGGCGCGAAGCACATTTCGAAGTCAAAATGTACAAAACACACCATGCTCGGACAACTTTTGGAAGTTGAGATGTCCAAAAAGTGCACGCTGTTGCGGCGCGAAGCACATTTCGAAGTCAAAATGTTAAAAACGCCAGGGGTTCGGACCACTTTTGGAGGTTCAGATGTCGCTTCGCTTCGCTTCACTACAATACACTACATTACACTACACTACACTACACTCCGCTACACTACACTACATTACACTACACTCCACAACACTACAA